GGAAACTCACAATTGGAAGCTTGAATAAACCTAGCACATTGGAGATTGCAATAGAAAATGTTGAGAAGGAATCACCCACAATCCCCAGAACTGGAGGGCTCCCTAAACAGTTCTCCTGAAGCAGAAACTGCTCCTCTCGACCACTGGCCAGTGATAGTGCACTACTGAATCCGATAATAAGTGCACCACAGTTATCATAGAGACTGTATCCAAGAGTCACATTATGTAGCAGATTGGAGTTCTTGTTGATTTCATCAATAGCAAAGGCCATGGTCATGGCATGTCTGAACCCTAGAATGTCAAAGCTAACATACAAGATATCACTGTTAATCACTAAAATGTATATTTTACTTTGTGAACTGTAATGCTGATACTGTGATGCTGATACTTTTAAAACTTTAAAACATATATATATATCACATTATGTAGCAGATTGGAGTTCTTGTTGATTTCATCAATAGCAAAGGCCATGGTCATGGCATGTCTGAACCCTAGAATGTCAAAGCTAACATACAAGATATCACTGTTAATCACTAAAATGTATATTTTACTTTGTGAACTGTAATGCTGATACTGTGATGCTGATACTTTTAAAACTTTAAAACATATATATATATATATGTACACATTTATAAATTGGACCAATGTTTATAACATGTTAGACAGATTTAAAAGTATCAGCATAACTGTCACCAAATGTAACATTACACTTACTTCAGAAGCATTTCAGAACAGATATTTTCTTCTTCACTATAAATACTATCAGCAGAAGTGTGTGAAACTCACCCTTTGCAGCTGGGCTGTTGTGGCTCTGAGGTAAATGTCAACTCAGGGAAGATAGAGGTGTAGTGGACCTCAAACAACCCACCCAGAACCACATCGCCAGGCTTGTGCATTCCATTCAGATGAAACTTTCTCCACAATTTACAAGATGACACGGAGCATAAAGAGGGAGAGGAGCAAAAAAACATGATAAGGTAGACACACAAGAGCAAATATGAGTCAGGAACCCCCCCCATAACTTCTCTCCTCCCTTTACACCTTTCTAATCTTCATGCAAGGGTTCTTGGTTTTATATGCAGGGTCTATGTCATCCCGTTTGCATGCTTTCTGTCATTGTTTAATCTTTCATAACACCAATCAGGGCATGCGCTATGAGGGCAGGGCACAACACACACATAAACTTACGTATGTTTGTATAATGTTTACATAATGTAAATGTTTTGCCATATCATAAAGTTATTCAAAAAGTATAAGGCATGAACCGAATCATATATTTTGTAAATTATTTTGATGTTTATCTTCTTTTGTTTTTCCATTGGAAATTTTTTTTTTTTAATTAATCAAATACATTATAAGGGGATTATTTATCATTTTAGTCCCCTTCTCTTAGGTTAGCAAGATTCATTTTCTCTCCTTTTTCACTTTTATTTTCATTCCTTTCGTATTACATTTTGTCAATGAAACTTGATATACTGTTGGGCATTTTGAAAGTGCAACAGCTTATCAGTTACTGGTTATCAGAAATCAATATCATATAATAACGTTAATTAATATTCAAGTTCCTTGGGGTACCCATGTAAAATATGAAAGGATAGCCAATTCACTGATTCAGTCTGAAAGTACTATCAATTTGCAACTCGGATTAGTCGCATTGTCACCTCAAATCTGTTTCCATTAAGCATCAGGCAGAGCTTTTTTCATTGCATCATTTCTCAAAAGAGGCAATACTTGCAATACTTACATGTGAATTATTTCACTATCTGTACAGGAACACTGACTGCTATGAAACATTTCTTTATTAAATGACTCAAAAATATTTTCTGAATGTACCCACAAAAGGTCCTCAATTCTTAAGAGATTCAGGGAAATGAAGACATACACATGAATTCAATGAAACCTTTTGCTTTCCACACAGTGTTTCAAATTGTTGGTTTCAGTTTCTCAAATCTTCATAATCCCTCTGTTATAATAATGTCCTTACATAGTAAGAACTTGAGTGTGACAAGGATTGACCAGAAATAACATGTTGCCCTTTGGCCCCGGAACTAGCAGCATTATCTAAAAAAAAAAAACAAAAAAACAAACAAAAAAAAACGTACAGACACTAATTTCTTGTCAATAGACATCTACTTTGCCCTGAATGTTTTAGTCCTCCACATTGGATCATGGAGATATGCCTGCATAGAGGCTTTCATATTGTGGCAGATCATAAAGTATACATTTTCCTTTGCACATTATCACATCAAATATCGGTTTCCTGCCCTGCAATACTCTTTTCAGTGCAACTGCTTTTTCTACTGTAACCTAACGCTAGCACAGAATCACAACTGTGCTGTTTATTGTGGACAGCCGGGATGAAGCAAAACACATAACTTTTTTTCAACATAATTTTGTTCTTGTGCTGGAATCTCCATTTTATGAGTGGTCGTCTGTGGTCGATTGTGATAATGTTAAGCATGGGCTACTAGGGCTGAATGATTAATCACATTTGCGATAATATCACAATATGATAATACAAGATTTTCTAACCGTAAAGGCAGTGATTACACTCTGGTCACGTGACATGCAAACAATAGTAGAGCAGTTGGCTAAAACAGGGAGCAACAACTTGGCATGCTACACTTTGACCTGTTGTACAATGGCCCCAGGCTCAACAGAACCTGGCACTGTGGAAACTTTAGTGTCAAAGAGGAGCAGTACGTCGGTTGTATGGAACTATTTTGGCTTTAAAAAAAGAAGAAGATGCTCACAGCGTCAGGTATTGTGCAGTTTTTTATTGTGTTTTTAATCTTCTGTAAAGTGTCCTTGAGTGCTGTGAAAGGCGCTGCCAAATAAAATGTATTAATATTATTATTACATTGTTATAAGAAATAAAAATATGTCATTCATATCAATTCATGCATCATCTAATTTCATCATGACATATAGGACTGGCCTACAGGAAAGAACTGTTTATGTTTAATCTATCTAATATTAATTTAGTCATATTATGGAATGATTTATTACTTGTGTTTGTTGAATAATACAGAAGATAAGGAACTTAAAAAATGAATTGCATATTAAACTGCAATTGCAATATTGGTAAAAAAAAAAATCGCAATTAGATTATTTTCCCAAATTGTTCAGCCCTATAGGCTACTATCCAACATCAGAATTGTCAACATCGGGCTAAGCTTGACAACTCAGTAGCAACATAGAGTACATTAACTAATAATAGCACAACAACTGTCTCAGCTCATTGTTTGGAGACGACTGCAAAAGCCAATATGTAGCCAATGGAATGGCTGCTTACGGGCCTATTCAATGTTCTCCTGAAGTCCAACCTGACCAAAAGGATCAATAAGGTCGATCCCGCTGCAGAGCAACGATAGGCTCTTGATAAGGAAAAAAAAACTACAGATTTATGTGGTACCAAGGGCATAGAGGTTTGGTCGCAACATTGGTAGGGATGCAACAAACCTGCCACCCCTCCAAAACAAAAAGAACTTTTGAGTGCTGTCAAGCAAATGAGATAATAACATATAAGATCTGAATTTACATTCAGACATGTATTTATATCTAAATAAAACTATACAGTATCAAATCAAAGACTACAACTTTAGAATATTATCATGTGTTATAAGAACTTACACGTTAACATCAGAATAGGTGAACTATGGTTATGTTAAATATAAGTTAATAATTTACAATGAAATGTCTTTTCAGCAACAGTAGTTAGTGGCCGTTAAGTGTAGTGTCTAATGTCCAGTCTCTGGAGTTTCTGTTATTGGTAGAGTCTATTGCTGCTCTGTCTGAACAATAAACGAATAATTGAGTGCCTAACTACCTGCTGTACATTTAAACTTAAACTAGTTCTGCTTCAACACGCAGAGCTCTCTGCTCCTGTTAGCGACATTCACTAATTCAGCAGTTGTTTACATGCTATTTAGATGCTAGTTACTTTAGCTTTGCAGTTAGCGATAGCTTCTCTCCCTTTCTCTTGCTCGGTGTGTCTTAAACTAACAGATGAACTTGTTCGTCAGAGTGTGGTGTTTTTGTAACTTCAGTGTGGAGGACTGTGATGTTTATTACATCTTCAGTGATGTCTGCTCTTATTTTAACACACAGCTCCGCTCGTTAACCGGAGATGCCCTCTCACAGCAGCCTTCAGCGTGATAGGCTATTACTCATGACTTCTTACCAATCAGATGGTGCTGTGGGTGGCACATTACTCTAGATTACAGAGTGGAAACTATAGAGAGACAGGAACCTAGATCAGAGACAGGCAGCTGCATCAGAGCCAAAGTACCGCATTTCAAAAATGTATTTATTTTATTGATTATCGGTTAGCCTAGAGTGCCTAGAGCCAAGCTCGCAAAGGAATGATCTAATATGACTACACTCCAAACATAGTGCAAACAAGTTCACTCAAATATTGGTAGGGACAATTCTGTCCTCTCAAAATATTGGTAAGGACATGTCCCTACTGTCCATATGCAAATCTACGCCCTTGCGTGGTAATGCAAGTAGATCCTAGTAGCATATCCAATATTTTCAGAATTGGTGGCAGGCTTTTCAGTTTTTTGAAATTAATAAATTAAGTTATTTATTTATTTTTTGATAGCTATTCTAAATGCTAAAGGACAAATAGCCTTCTAAAAACAAGAATTAGTAGGAGTAGTTTGAGTCAGGCTGTCACCCATATAAAAATGGTTTAATTTCAGCTTTGAGTTTTAGTCAGGTGGGAATTGAGGCAAAGACCTTTAAGTCTCTTAAATCTTATGAAATGTTATCAGGCAATAAATTGACAATAATAAATAATCGGTTTTATGCATGAACATTTCTTTATTGCTTGCAGTTTCATCTAAGCTTATTCTTTACAGAGAAACATTTCTGAAGTTAAAAAGAAGTTTACTTATTTGTTATATAGTGGTCATTTCAAGGGCAGATCACTAATGAATTAATGCAAAATAGATGTTGGTTCAGACCAATTGATCATTTAACTGTATCTTGTGCTTTTATGACTTAGAGGTTCCTCTACCCATAATGGCATTCTTTGTATTTCTCTCTGGTCTCAGCAGGATTATGTAACATTTGGGTCCAAACAGCGCCACCAAGAGGCCAAAACTGGAAGCCAGGATGGCAAATACCTCCACTGCATCGGCATATTTGCCTGGGGAGTTGACATAAGCAGGGACAAAGGCCACCCACACAGCACAGAAGATCAGCATGCTGAAAGTGATGAATTTGGCCTCATTGAAGTTGTCTGGAAGATTTCTTGCCAGAAAAGCTAACAGGAAGCTGAGGATAGCCAGTACGCCAATATAACCAAGTAAAACTGCAAAACCGATCGTGGAGCCAACTACACACTCATAAACTATCTTGTCATTGTGGTATTCGGTGTTTTTATGAGGTGCTGGAGAGGAAGAGACAATCCAACAAGTGCAGATTGCTGCTTGAATGCATGTAAGCGCCAAAACCGTCCCTCTCTGCTGCACAGCACCAAACCACTTCAGACTGGCTCCACCTCCTGGCTTGGAGGCCTTGAACACAGCAAGAACCACCATGGTTTTAACCAGGATGCATGAGACACAAAGCACAAAGCTGATCCCAAATGCTGCATGTCTCAGCTGACATGTCCATAGTCTGGGACGACCGATAAACAGCAGTGAACACAGGAAACATAGTTTAAGTGACACCAAAAGCAAGAAACTGAGTTCTGAATTGTTGGCACGCACCATGGGTGTTCTGCGATGATAGATGAAGATGCCCAGAACAACAGCACAGATAAATGTGCCCAGCAATGAAGTTGTTGTCAAACAAATTCCCAGAGGCTCATGGTAGGAGAGGAACTCTGTTTTCTTAGGGACACAGTGGTCACGCTGGGTGTTGGACCAGAAATCCTCTGGGCAACTTGTGCACTCCATGGAGTCTTAAATACAGAGGAAGATGGTGAAATACATTCCTGCTATGAAGTATATAAAATCCCCTGAGTAAACTAAAAATATTAAAACATGAACACTCACCACTTTTATTGCTGATCTTTCCCTCAGAACAAGGGATGCAGTCAAAACAACACTCAGGTTCCCCCTTCTTTCTGGCCATGCGGGTACCAGGAGGACAGCTCTCACTGCACACTGACCGGGGGGGCTGTAGGGAGAAAAATAAACATGTCATTCAGTGTTATTTTACACTTGTAAGAATTACAGTCCAAAAAAGAGAGGTGTTGGAAAAATTAGAAGTAACCTCTTTGATTTCAAAATTCCAGAAGATTTTATCTTCATCAAGTGTGAGTTCTTCACCTTTGAAGGCTGATTTCTTAACTTCACCCACATTCTGAACTTTAGTTCGTCCGTCAGGGAGCCACAGCCAGTTCATGATATGATAGATTGGTAAGACATCACCATTCTCATCAAATGACACTTGATCACCAAATGGTGTGGTGAAGTTGACCTTTTGCAAATAATGTACAAGCTACAAATGGATGATAGAAACAAAAAAGACAGTTTGGCTCCTTCCAAAAAGAGATTTATCCCTCTTTGCAACAAAATCATACCATTTTCATCTCTCTACGTTTAATTGCTTTTGTTTGTTTTAAGTATTGAGACACCCTGAAATTCAGAATGGTGTTTGGCCTAACTGTTTTAATTCCACTTCACAAAAGTGTACTCATTTAAGTACTTAATGGTATAGCAGCTTTGCAAAAAAAAAGAAAAAAAAAAAGGGGAGTGTAAATTCATATCTCACCTGCCATGGCTCCAGTGTTTGCAAAGTAGCACACCTGTTCCCGCTGAAAGGCCCTCTCCCTGGCTCACACTGAAGTATGTTATCAAGGGCATACGCCAGAGCATACACAGCCTTGTAAATATTGTACTCTGGCCTGAGGTTAGAAAGATCCAAGAGCTCAGTCTCCACATTCTCTAGATCTTCATGTCCAGTGCATAATGCTCCTCCAGCTTCTATCCAACCTGCTGGAGGTGGTGCAAATCTACACTGAAATGTGTATTCCCAAAACTGCCTCACCTGAAATACAGTATATTAAAATACCATCATTAACAGAAAATTCAGCATATACTATTGTTATTTATTATGTATTTTATAACAAACTTAGTTTCTAATTTAATTCTTACAAAGTTATTTCCATAGCTGTCATTGTCATATTGGTCAGGACGTATTTGTAACATGAATTCCCTGAGTCCTGGTATTTCTCCTCGACGGATGGCAATTCCCAGTGTTCCACCCAAATATGGCATGAGGTGGGGGGTCTGGAGCACAGCAGCTGCTGTCCAGGCTTCACTGGCTATCCACTGCCGGCCTGTCACATCCTGTCTCACCACCTGTGTATTGTATTATATGAAATTAATTATTTTGGACTTAAAACAGTGCACAGTATGAAGTCCAACATGCCCATTTAACATGGGTTCTGCATATTGCAACCTAGATTTAAAAAAAATTCAATTATTAAGTGAATTAAAGTAGCAACATTTTTTTAAGCATCATGGGTGGGTTGAAAATGCAAAAAAGTGCCTTTGTAAAGCTTCAAACAGTCACAAAAAGCTGTTTGTTGTACGCTTCTCTTTTTAATATAAATCATTTAATGTAATTACTAGAATCATTTACAATAAATTTCAAATATTTCAAGCAATGTTTTCATCCAGCTGAAACTTCAGGTAACATTACCAGACATTTTCAAACATTTTGACCTGATGAAGATTCAACTGGATCTGAAATTTGCTGTTGTAGAAAACTGTGTTTGTTTGACACTGACTATAATTGAGAGGAGTTTGGTTTGTAAATTTTGGTTTTGACAAACAAATAAAGAAGAAAAATAAGTCATAATGTTACATTTCTTAAAATCATGCATTTTCAAATTATATTTGAATTCCAACCTCTTCCATTAGTGGAATCAAGTGCATGTCGTGTGCAAAAACCATGACTACACGAGCTGTTGATGTCTTTATCAAATATACAATCCTCTTGAGTTCACTTGGGTCACTGTCCCAGGGCAACACCTCTAGGTAGGCCAGACAACCTCCACCAGACTGAGCCAGGTCAGACTGCAAGGACTGGGCAACATGGAGTCCATAATCATCATCACTGACCAGCAGACCTACCCATGTCCAGCCAAAGTGTTTTAGGATCTGAATCATAGCACGCACCTACAGTATGTGGATACAATGGTGAGAAGAGTTAAGTGCACACACTAATATATTCTTTTAAAATTAAATCTCACTCAAACTTCAATTAATGTAACTTGTATAAGTGATATTACATATAGACATTTCATAATAGAATCACATTATGTGACCCTATCCAGGAAAAAAGAAAATGTTTGTGTCATCAGGGATAACTTGGTAATAGTGTTTCACCTGAAAAGCATCACTTGGAATTGTTCTAAAGAAGGAAGGAAATCTTTGCCGATCAGTAAGGCAGGAACACGTGGCATAATAACTCACCTATAAAGAAACATGCAGAATGCACTCATATTACTTTTCTCATGCAAGTCAAACCCAGACAAAATATTTATCTATCACAATTAAATATGACAATGATTTAATTAAAGAATTTAAGAATAAAAAAAATTCAAAAGATAGAAGATAGGAAACTCACAATTGGCAACTTGAATAAACCTAGCACATTGGAGATTGCAATAGTAAATGTTGAGTAGGAATCACCCACAATTCCTAGAACTGGAGGGCTCCCTAAACAGTTCTCCTGAAGCAGAAACTGCTCCTCTCGACCACTGGCCAGTGATAGGGCACCACTGAATCCAATTACAAGTGTGGCACAGTTATCATAGAGACTGTATCCAAGAGTCACATTATGTAGCAGATTGGAGTCCTTGTTGATCTCATCAATAGCAAAGGCCATGGTCATGGCATGTCTGAACCCTAGAATGTCAAAGCTAACATATAAAATAAAATGGTAATCATTAAAACATATTATTTCACTCGAAAAAATTATATATATATCGAGAGAGAGAGAGAGAGAGAATTTTACCTATGTTGACAACATATTACTCACTTGTATAAATTATTTTAAAAGTATCACCATAACTGTCACCAAATGTTACATTACTCACTTCATTAGCATTTCATCATAGTGACATTTTCTTCCTTATCATGAATACACAAAGCAGAATTTCCACATGCTCATGCTGTCTGCTGCATGTGCTTGAAACTTACCCTTTACAGCTGGGCTGTTGTGGCTCTGAGGTAAATGTCCACTCAGGGAAGACAGAGGTGTAGTGGACCTCAAACAGCCCACCCAGAACCACATCGCCAGGTTTGTGCATTCCATTCAGATGAAACTTTCTCCGTAATTTACAAGATGAAAGTAGAGAGGAAGACACGGAGCATAAAGAGGAGGACAAGCAAAAAAACAAGATACGGTAGACACACAAAAGCAAATAAATGTCAAGAAAACCCCCCATAACGTCCCTCCTCTCTTCACACTTGTTTCTATTCTGCATGTAAGGGTTCTAGGTTTTATATGCAGAGCTATGTCATCCCATTTGCATGTATTCTGTCATTGTTTAATCTTTCACAACACCCATCAGGGCATGCGCTATGAGGGCAGGACACAACACACACACACGCATCAACTTAATTATGTTAGTAGAACATCTAAAACACATCAGAAAGTTTTGACAAATATAAGGCATAAATCAAATTTTAAATTTTGTAAATTACTTTGATGTTTATCCCATGAAAATGAATGCTTTAGAGTCTTAAGTATTTGAAGACATTTTTCAAATATCTGGGGATCATAATCAATTACATAGCATGAGTCTGTTGTTTTAATCCTCTTCTCAGTTGAGCAAGGTTCATCCTCTTGTTTTTTACTCTTATTTTCATTACTTTGGTATTACACATTCATGTAATTCTATTTTTTCAATAAAACTTGGTTTATTTATGCTTGTGCGGTAGTTCCACAATGTCTTTTTGTAAAGTGTGGATCATACTCTATGACGTTTTGGACAGGAATGGTGCCGCTATGGCAATTTTTTTAGCTATGGTATGGCACAGCTATGGAACTATCTATCTAACTATGTATCTAACTATGTTTCAATCCGAACGTGTAAAAGTTGCACTTGGTAATCTTCTGTGTATGCAGGTGGGTGCATACAATCCAATATCCATGTGTTATATGCTTATTGTTCTCAACTAAGCAAAGAAAAGCTGAGCGGGTATCCCCTCCAGAGTTTCTGACAGCGGTGAAGATGGTGCTGCGGTATGGGTGCCGCCAACTTATTCTTCTGGAAATGGAATAGAGGTGTTTGATATCCCAAAGATGCTGTTAATGGGCACATCCCTTTCACAGTGCAGTTGGGGAATTATGAGTGTATTCTATCAATGGCAGATGAATACTCCAAGCAGAGGCGTTGGAGGCCATGACAGATTGAAGAGCCGACTCCCAATGCCCTTGGGACAGGAAGCGGACATTGTAGACCAGGAGGAGGGCGATGAGATGACTACGTTGCAACATAGGCCAGAGTGTCCATCTCCGTAGTGGGCCACCATAAGTGTCTCTTAAGCAGCGTCAGAGTTCATTTCATTCCTGGGTGGGAGCGAAAAGAATCTGGGACAAACAGATGGTTACCAAGGTCTGGCTGATGTTGCTGAGAATCTCATAATGCAGATGAAATATTCCAGGTCGCATCTGCTACCACACAGGTTGGAGGGATAATAGTGTCTGGGCTGGGGTCTGCTTCCTTGTCACGCTGGCGAGATAGGGCATCAGGCTTAACATTCTGGGCCCCTGGAGGATAGGTAAGTATGAAATTAAATCTGTTAAACATGAGGCCCAGCAGGCTTGAAAGGAGTTTGTTTGGCAGTTTGGATGTAGGCTAGATTGTTATGAGCAGTCCAAACCACAAAAGCCTGTTCTGTGCCAATGTCTCCAAGCGAGTTTCGTTGCCAGCAGCTCAGGATTGCCAACATCATGATTCCTTCTAGCAGGAGAGAGACGACATGAAAAGAAGGCACAGGGACGAAGCTTTTGATCCAAGTGCTGAGAGAGGACAGACCCAACCCAAGTATCAGATGTGACTACCTCAACAATAAATTGTCATGAGGGATCAGGTTGCACCAGGACTGCAGCTGAAGTTCCTCTTCACTTCAGCTCGTGAAAGGCCAACCCAACCCAAGTATCAGTACCCATGGAATGGAGGAGGATGTTACTTTAGCAAGTGGTGCAGAAGAACTCTCTGCAGTTCTTTCCTGGTGGTGGGCTGTGGCCACTCTGAAACATCTTATATCTTCTATATCTTCTCTGGGTCTGTCTTAATCTGCCCAATCTCTACAATGTACCCCAGAAAGGTGGAGTAGAATGTTTCTCAGGTTTAAAAATAAGTTATATGTTGGCTATTTAAAGGGCAGATCACAACTGAATGAATGCAGCACTAGAATGACACTCAAAGCGTGCAGACATCTGCCAAGGCCAATGTCAAACAAGATACACCAGAATATAGAGAAAAGAAATTCTAATTCATTGTAAATGTTCCAGGTTTGACCGAAAATTGAATGGATGTGGTACAAATTGGTTCAGTAGTTTTTGCTTAATCCTGACAAAGACACACAAAAAAATAGTAAAGAAACAAAGAATACAAAAAATAATTTTTAAAACTTTATTAATATATCATGGGATATTTTTGCCATTATGTCAGGGAAGATTTATATCTAAAGAGGTTATTTATTGTGTGTCATTTTGGGAGCAGATGAATGAATTTAAAACATAGGCTGGATGGAAACTGGATGATATTTACTTTATGACTTTGTGTTTCCTCGACCCATGATAGCTTTCTTAGTGTTTCTCTCTGGTCTTAGCAGGATTATGTAGCATTTGGGTCCAAACAGCGCCACCAAGAGGCCAAAACTGGAGGCCAGGATGGCAAATACCTCTACTGCATCTGCATATTTGCCTGGGGAATTGACATAAGCAGGGACAAAGGCCACCCACACAGCACAGAAGATCAGCATGCTGAAAGTGATGAATTTGGCCTCATTGAAGTTGTCTGGAAGATTCCTTGCCAGGAAAGCTAACAGGAAGCTGAGGATAGCCAGTAACCCTATATAGCCCAGTAACACTGCAAAACCAACTGTGGAGCCAACTACACACTCATAAACTATCTTGTCATTGTGGTATTCGGTATTTTTATGAGGTGCTGGTGAGGCAGAAACAATCCAACAAGTGCAGATCGCTGCCTGAATGCATGTCAGCACCAGAACTGTCCCTCTCTGCTGCACAGCACCAAACCACTTAAGTTTGGCTCCACCTCCTGGTTTGGAGGCCTTGAACACAGCCAGAACCACCATGGTTTTCACCAGGATGCATGAAACACAAAGCACAAAGCTGATGCCAAAAGCTGCATGTCTCAGCTGGCATGTCCATAGTCTGGGTCGGCCGATAAACAGCAGTGAACACAGGAAACATAGTTTAAGTGACACCAAAAGCAGGAAACTGAGTTCTGAATTGTTGGCACGCACCATGGGTGTGCTGCGATGATAGATGAAGATGCCCAGAACAACAGCACAGATAAATGTGCCCAGCAATGAAGTTGTTGTCAAACAAATACCCAGAGGCTCATGGTAGGAGAGGAACTCTGTTTTCTTCAGGACACAGTGGTCACGCTGGGGGCTGGACCAGAAATCCTCTGGACAACTTGTGCACTCCATGGAGTCTATGAAAATAGGGCAGAGTATAATTTTCATTTCGCATTTTCCTACTTCTTTTCAACTCTTAAGAGTTGCTATTGCAGCATCAAAGATATCATCCCTCCCACCTGTTATTTGCAATTGGGCACCATTGCCAAACATGCCCTCTGGTTTACTACAGTAATGGGCATATGTTGTCCTGAACACCAACTGGACATCCACAGGGGTTACTTAACACAAGTTAATACTCCACAGCAAATCAAAAATTCTGTAATGGATACCAACCAGTTTTGTTGCTGATCTTTCCCTCAGAACAAGGGATGCAGTCAAAACAGCACACAGGTTGTCCCCTTTTCCTTGCCATACGGGTACCTGGGGGGCAGGTTTCACTGCAAACTGACTTTGGTGGCTGTAAGGGAACAATAGTAAAATATCTGTTATTCTATATCATGTGATGCTTTTAATGTATGTAATTCTAAAGCAAGTGCAACAATAAGGAGAAGTAACCTCTTTGTTTTCAAAGTTCCAGAAGATTTTGTCTTTATGAAGTGTGAGTTCTTCACCTTTGAAGGGAGACTTCTTAACTTCACCCACACTTTGAACCTTTGTCCTTCCATCAGAGAGCCACAGCCAATTCATGATATCATATATTGGTAAGGCATCACCATTCTCATCAAATGACACTTGATCACCAAATGGTGTGGTGAAGTTGACCTTTTCCAAGTAATACATAAGCTACAAATTGGAGAGATAAAGTCAACAGGCTCATAATGTACTTTGTTCTTGGTTGGGTAAAAGTTCTACGTGCAAGGCTTTCTGTATTTAGTCATTCTAGTCTTCAAATTAGGGGTGTAGAAAATTTTACAAATCTGAAAGACTTTCACCTTATTATGACCAATAGTTGTGTTTAATTGTCAAGCGACATCTAGCGTCGCGTAATGTGACCCAAAAAGACCTAAGTGACTGAAGTGAATAGGGTGGTGGATGGATGGGTGTTGAAAACATCGGACTTAAGCATAGGAGGCCGCTGTTTCTTGTACCAATGACTGTTCCACAACATTAACCACGTTTTGTATTGAAACCATGACGTCAAAGGTGCTCTAATTGTAAAAAAGCACTTATTTTAACCCAAAACCTTTCCCTAAACCTACCCAAGTCGTTTTTGTGTCACACCTAACCAAACCTTTACCATAGCATTGTCATAACATAAAATGGTTTCTGTTTATCTGTGGCATATCTCCTAATAAGGACACACTTGTATGGGAAGTATCAGAGTATAGGGACAAATGACCTATGTGGTCGTTTAGGTTGAAGAATTGGCAAAATATGTTCTCCATTAAGCACTGAAACACCCTGAATTTCAGTTTGTTTAATTAATATATTTTAGTGGTTAATTATCATGGTTAAACAAACAAGCAAACAATTTTATTTCCTGCTATTTCAAGGATTCAATATTTTCTTTAAAAAAAAAACATTAAGTTAATAGCGGAAATACTGATATCCACTTAATGTAATGTCGTTTCTCACATTATTTTACTCTCACAAAACTGCATTTAGCAGGTTCCCTCAACATGTAGCATCTGATTAAAAAAAATATACAGATGGAGTGTAAATTTATATCACACCTGCCATGGCTCCAGTGTTTGCAAAGTGGCACAGCTGTGGCTGCTGAAAGGCCCTCGCCCTGGCTCACAGCGCAGCATGTCATCAAGGGCGTATGCCAGAGCATACACAGCCTTGTAAATGTTGTACTCTGGCCTGAGCTCTGACACATCCAAGAACTCAGTCTCCACATTCTCTAGATCTTCCTGTCCAGTGCATAGTGCTCCATCAGCCTCCACCCAATCTGCTGGAGGTGGAGCAAATCTACAATGAAAAGTGTATTCCCAAAACTGCTTCACCTGAAATACATTTAAAAAAATGACGTTAAGAGGTTATAACAATATATCATTCTTGTAATTTGTCAAAAGACTGGAAGATTAAACTCTTACCATGCTATTTTCATAGTCATTGCTGTGATGTTGTTCAGGATTAATTCTCAATAGGAACTCCCTGAGCCCTGGTATCTTTCCACGACGGATAGCAATGCCAAGTGTGCCACCCAAATATGGCATGAAAGCAGGAGTATGAAGTCCATCAACTAATGTCCAGGCTTCACTGGCAATCCACTGCAGGCCCGTAACATTCTTCCTCACAACCTGTGCATTGTATAACAACAGTCTTTTTCAGATGTCTGTGAAACAATTACAGTCTACATTGTATAATACACTAAATTACATCAAAACCTTATAATAATTGATTAATTCATTTAAATCTTGGTATTTTGATCTATGCTCCAAAACAACAGTTAAAGTAAAAAAAGTAAAGCATAAATAGCATATAGGATTAGTAAATGTTGAACATAGGTCTACAGAAAAGCATAAATATAAGACTAAATGTTGCATGGGTTTATGATGGGTAAAAATACATAGTTTTGCCACACCAAGGTTCCCAAATCCCAATTCCAAATGAGTCACAGAAGTACTAATCAATTTTTAATTAACCAAATATGGTTAATTAGAAATTCACAAGTAAATTTAGTTTCAAGGGAAGATGAAAACATTTTATAGTCAGGCTTTGGATTTATGAATACAAATGTATTTTCATCTCCCAACCTCTTCCATGAGTTGAATCATGTGCATCTGATGTGCAAACACAATGACCACACGAGCTGTTGATTTTGTCATCACATCCACAATCCTCTTATATTCATTCGGATCAGTGCCCCAAGGCAAAATCTCTGAGTAGGCCAGACAACCTCCACCAGACTGAGCCAAGTCAGATTGGAAGGATCTGGAAACATGGTGTCCATAATCATCATCACTGACCAGAAGACCTGCCCAAGTCCAGCCAAAGCGTTTTAGAATCTGAATCATAGCACGCACCTATAAGTGAATAGAGAGAGGCGGGATCAGTTTATAGGCTTGAATATTCTTTTACTTGACATTTGTTGCTTTGTTTGGTAATTTCATTAATTATGTACAAAGTAAATACATTCTAGGCACACAAGATGTATTTAACTGGCAATACTCATTTTTAAGTTTGCTTTACCTTACTGGAGACATATATGCAGGTCTTATTTTATGAATAGTGTTTCACCTGGAAAGCATCACTTGGGATTGTTCTGAAGAAGGATGGAAACCTTTGCCGATCACTCAGGCACGAACATGTGGCAAAATAACTCACCTACAATGAGACACATATCATGCACACAGGTCGTGCACATCTTGTGCAAGTTAGTAGAGATATTCAGCATATTTGACCTATTTTGACCATTTATATTCGATGAAAATACTTAATATTAAAGACAATTAAAGACAGGAGACTTACAATAGGAAGTTTGAATAAGCCCAGAACATTGGAGGTGGCAATAGAAAATGTTGAGAAGGGATCACCCACGATCCCCAGGACTGGAGGGCTCCCTAAACAGTTCTCCTGAGGCAGAAACTGCTCCTCTCGACCACTAGCCAATGATAATGCAGCACTGAACCCAATACCAAGTGTAGCACAGTTGTCATAAAGACTGTATCCCAGAGTCACATTAGGTAGCAGAGTGGAGTTTTTGTTGATCTCATCAATAGCAAAGGCCATGGTCATGGCATGTCTGAACCCTGGAGGGTCAAAGCTAATACACAAAATGTCAGTCTTAATTAAATCTTATAAAGTATCAATAATAATCTCTTATGTCTGTTAGACTTACCCTCGGCAGCTGGGCTGATGTGGCTCTGAGGTGAATGTCAGCTCTGGAAAGACAGAGCTGTAGTGGACTTCAAACAGCCCGCCCAGAATTACATTGCCAGCCCTGTGAATCCCATTAAGATTAAATTGCCTCCGTAATTTACAAGATGGAGAAAGAAAGAAAGATTCAGAGAAGAACAAAGAGGTAGAAATGAAAATCCGAGAGACACACAAAAGCAAATGTCTGACAAGAAAGGCCCTCATAACTGCCCTCCTTCCTTCACCCCTGTATCTAATCTTTATGCACAGGGTACTTAATTTTATATGCAGGGCTATGTAATCCTCTTTCGTCATTGTTTAATTGTTCACCACCCATCAAGGCATGGGCAGTGGTGGGGGATGGGCTTAATACACATTTCAAAATACTAAGCACATCAACATTAAAACTAGTAATTGGTTTTAATGTAGTGGATGATTGGTGTATGCCGCATCAGCACAAATATATACCATGTTGTAAATTTTTTAAAATCACTTTCATGTTCATAAACATTTGCTTTGAGAATCAAAAGCCTATTTTGACTTTCTGTGTCTAAAATACTAGAATCAGGTTAGAAATCTCTCTTTCTTCTGGAGATGTTTGTTAATATGACAACTGTGCTTCATAGCTCAGACCCACAGGAGTGTCAGACAATCAATTAGTGGAACTGAAAAATAAACAATCACAAGGCCATAACAGCAAAGAAAGCAATAGGCTAAGCAGTGGACCATAGCAGTCAGATGGAAATGGTAATGCATGCTACTTGAAACTAAAGAAAAAAAACTCTTCTTTTTGAGTATGAGTTGAAATTCTTATTCAGTGAAAACTGGAGGCCTAAACTTGTAATTTGTTAAGTATTGGGTAGTGTTAAAATGGAAATAAGACAATTTCCAGTTATTTTAGGGGAACAAATGGAGAGATGAAAAGTCATGTGTACCATCCTGGTAAATCTACAGAGGGAGCTAGATGTTCAGCAGAAGCAAAAGCAAAGACATGCTATCCAGTTACATTCATATACTTTTTACTACAGATGACACATTGAAAGCAATTCAAATGATAATTTGGTCTGAATGTTGTTCACAAAGGGATGCAATGAATCAAATAACTTCCATGGTGGTATTGAGTTGTTTTATTACAAAGATATATTTCAAAATGATCCTGACATACTGCTCTTCAACTTCTTGCAAGAATAGTAATTAACAATGGTATTCACCAAGGTTGCCCTGTTTACCAGGTCTTTTTGTGAATGGGCTGTGACTTAAATTTTGGGGGCACTGAAATTCAATCTAAATAAAAGAAAAATGTTCAAATGTCAAACAGTACAACTCTTTCTCAATTAAACTGAAGGTGTACAAATGTGTACTCAAAGTAACCAAATAAATTAATGAATAAATGAACATAAATATTGTGTTTTAATTTATCTATTGACATGATTTATTAACAACTTTAGTGTCTTACAGTGTCCTTATGTATTTGAAAAACTCCCAGTAATGTAATCAGGCAGAACAGGCAATGAAATGACACAAACACTAGAAAACTCAGTTTTTAAAAGTTTATTTATCTCTCATAGGTCATTTTGTAATTATGTCAGGGGAGTTACTTATTGTGTCATTTCATTAGCAGATGAATAGATTTTAAAATAAAGGAATGCAACTAATTGATGTTTACTTTTTTATGTTTTACTGGTTCCTCGACCCATAATAGCTTTCTTTGTGTTTCTCTCTGGTCTCAGGAGGATTATGTAACATTTGGGTCCAAACAGCGCCTCCAAGAGGCCAAAACTAGAGGCCAGGATGGCAAATACCTCCACTGCATCTGCATATTTGCCTGGTGAGCTGATATAAGCAGGGACAAAGGCCACCCACACAGCACAGAAGATCAGCATGCTGAAAGTGATGAGTTTGGCCTCATTGAAGTTGTCTGGAAGATTCCTTGCCAGAAAAGCTAACAGGAAGCTGAGGACCGCCAGTAAGCCAATATAACCAAGTAACACTGCAAAACCGATCGTGGACCCGATGACACACTCATAAACTATCTTGTCATTGTGGTATTGGGTGTTTTTATGAGGAGCTGGTGAGGAAGAGACAAGCCAGGCAATGCAGATTGCTGCTTGAACAGAAGTAAGAACCAGAACTGTCCCTCTCTGCTGCACAGCACCAAACCACTTCAGACTGGCTCCACCTCCTGGCTTAGAGGCCTTGAACACAGCCAGAACCACCATGGTTTTCACCAGGATGCATGAGACACAAAGCACAAAGCTGATCCCAAATGCTGCATGTCTCAGCTGGCATGTCCACAGTCTGGGGCGACCGATAAACAGCAGTGAACAAAGGAAACATAGTTTAAGTGACACCAAGAGCAGGAAACTGAGTTCTGAATTGTTGGCACGCACCATGGGTGTGCTGCGATGATAGATGAAGATGCCCAGGACAACAGCACAGATAAATGTGCCCAGCAATGAGGTGACTGTCAAGCAGATACCCAGAGGCTCATGGTAGGAGAGGAACTCTGTTTTCTTGGGAACACAGTGGTCACGCTGGGGGCTGGACCAGAAATCCTCTGGGCAACTGATGCACTCCATGGAGTCTATGAAAAAGGAAAAATTCTCTTTTTTTCTGCAATTTTCTTATTTACAGTTTTTACCTTTTGATGCCAATTTTAAGTTATTATTTTTTATGGCCATTGTCTCTACAATCTGCTGCTGTCTACTTTAGATGGGCATAACACACACACACACTTTATACTTGAATATCCCCGCCAGGAATTGTACCCATGATCCTACAGTGGGGCGCATATGTCTACGTCGCCGCTCACCAAGAAGGAGAAGATTCCTGAATGCAAATTGATATTCGATGATATATCATATCATTGAATATAATAACATTAGCCTGACACCAACCTGTTTCATTGCTGAACATTCCCTCAGAACAAGGGACACAGTCAAAACAGCAAACAGGCTCCCCCTTCTTTCTGGCCATTCGGGTGCCAGGAGGACAGCTCTCACTGCATGCTGACCGGGGGGGCTGTAGGGATTGTAAGAGTTATATAACAGTTATTGTAAATCATTTGATGCTGATATCATGTGTCATACAATACTAAGGCATAAACAAAAATAAACATATGTAACCTGTTTAGAGTCAAAGTTCCAGAAGATTTTGTCTTCATGAAGTGTGAGTTCTTCACCTTTGAAGGGAGACTTCTTAACGACCCCGACATTCTGAACCTTTGTTCGTCCATCAGGGAGCCACAGCCAGTTCATGATATCATATATCGGTAAGGCATCGCCGTTCCCATCAAATGACACTTGATCACCAAATGGTGTGGTGAAGTTGACCTTTTCCAAGTAATACATAAGCTACAACGGGGTGAGATAAATTAAACAAAACATAAATACTGTGAGACTGCGGAAAAATGTACTGTCCTTGATTGATTATATAATTTCAGATGTTCTGTGTGATAGATTTGCTGGATTTAGTCATGTTAGTGATCAAATATATTGCACTAAAAACATGAAAATCTGATCAGCCACTGTTGCCTTTAAGTCTTTTACAATGTTGTCTTCCAACTACTGGGATTAAAGGTTTGGTGCTTTACTCTAAAATAATGAGATTTAAATGTACTGGGGCTACTGATGCCTCAGTTAATGATGTATTCTTTTCCCCAAATCTATTCCAGGACACACCTCAAGTGGTAAAGCAGTTTTCAAAAGCTAAACAGGTGGAGTGTAAATTTATATCTCACCTGCCATGGCTCCAGTGTTTTCAAAGTGGCACAGCTGTGGCCGCTGAAAGGCCCTCTCCCTGGCTCACACAGCAGCATGTCATCAAGGGCGTACGCCAGAGCATACACAGCCTTGTAAATATTGTACTCCGGCCTGAGATTAGAAACATCCAAAAACTCAGTCTCCACATTCTCTAAGTCTTCATCTCCAGTACATAATGCTCCTCCAGCTTCTATCCAGCCTGCTGGAGCTGGAGCAAATCTACACTGAAATGTGTATTCCCAAAACTGCATCACCTGAAATGTATTGGAAGTCTTAGCAGAAATAACAATATTTTATAATTTGTAAGTCTTATTCTGAATATATGATTTTAATCTTACCAAGCTATTTCCATTGTTATTGTTGTCATGGAAGTCAGGACGTATTCCTGACAGAAAATCCCTGAGTCCTGGTATTTCTCCTCGACGGATGGCAATGCCCAGTGTTCCACCCAGGTACGGCATGAGGTGGGGGGTCTGTAGCACAGCAGCTGCTGTCCAGGCTTCACTGGCCATCCACTGCAGGCCTGTCACATTCTGCCTCACCACCTGTGCAATGCATTTTATTATATACACATACAACTCATGAGACCATGACCAAAGATTTTGGCTTATTTTGAGTTTGGTTTGCGAAATATTCACAGATGTGCTACACCAGCTCGTAAACTGAGTCAATTCTTTTTCACTGTGGAGATTACAATATTTTTCTCCAGTGTTATTACTTTAAAAAACTTAACATAATTAAATCTATGATGAAGGCAGTAGGTAGATAATAAGCAGATAGATAGATACCTCTTCCATCAGTTGGATCATATGTATCTGATGTGCAAACACAATGACCACACGAGCTGTGGACTTCTTCATCACATTCACAATTCTCCTAAGTTCAGCTGGGTTGTCACCCCAAGGCAAAATCTCTGTGTAGGCCAGACAACCTCCACCAGACTGAGCCAAGTCAGATTGAAAGGATCGAGAAACGTGGAGTCCATAATCATCATCACTGACCAGCAGACCTGCCCATGTCCAGCCAAAGCGTTTTAGAATCTGAATCATAGCACGCACCTAAGTGAATAGAGAGAGGAGGGATTATTGCACATGTTGTTACCTATTCATCTCTCACAGTAAAATAACAATCAATTGTTCCCATTGTGCTCTCTCTTCTAAATCCATGTTTCATTAATAATGCACAAAGCAAATACACTACTTTTGTTTGATAGGAGAAATTTTTGAAGCTAACTAGACTTCCTTACAACATATATGATAATAGAGGGGAGTTTCACCTGAAAAGCATCACTTGGTATTGTTCTAAAGAAGGATGGAAACCTTTGGCGATCACTCAGGCAGGAACACGTGGCAAAATAACTCACCTATGAAGAAACATACAGTTTGCACAGAGGTTTTGCTTCTCATGCAAGTCAGTAGGATCATTTAAAAGATTTAACCTATTTTAACAATTCATCATTTTAAAATCTAAAATAAAAAGGTCACTGCTTACCAAATAAAGGCTTGTTGGAGAAGCTCAAGCTGAGATGCAATGTACATATCCTACCACTTTAACATTTGAGTTATTGACATTCAGTTAGATAAAGCACATCAAAAGCACAGCTAAGACTGAAGAGAGGAAACTTACAATGGGCAATCTGAATAAACCTATCACATCAGAGGTGGCAATAGAAAACGTTGAGAAGGAATCACCCACGATCCCCAAGATTGGAGGGGTCCCCAAACAGGTCTCCTGAAACAGAAACTGCTCCTCTCGACCACTGGCCAATGATAATGCAGCACTGAATCCAATTACAAGTGTGGCACAGTTATCATAGAGACTGTATCCCAGAGTCACATTAGGTAGCAGGTTGGAGTTTTTGTTGATCTCATCAATAGCAAAGGCCATGGTCATGGCATGTCTGAACCCTGGAGGGTCAAAGCTGGCACAAAATATGTCACTATTAACCATCTAGGAGTAATATGCTTGATATAAGACTTTTATGCTACAGGAGTACAGACTTACCCTCGGCAGCTGAGCTGATTTGGCTCAGAGGTGAATGTCAGCTCAGGGAAGACAGAGGTGTAGTGCACTTCAAACAACCCACCCAGAATCACATCACCAGGCTTGTGCATCCCATTCAGATAAAATTGTCTCCTTAATTTACAAGTTGAGAAAAGAGAGGAGGACTCAGATGTGAAAAAGGTAGAAGAGAACAAAAGCAACATCAAGTAAACATACAATAAAGAAAATGTGTTTAGATTTGCCCCCATCACTGCCATCCTTCCAGCACCCGTTTCTCATCTTCATGCACGGGTTACTTGATTTTATATGCAGGGTAATGTCATGTCCTTCAGTGATTTTCATCATACTTCCACACCGCCCATCAGGGCATGGGTAGCTATGTGGGGGGAGGGCACATACATATCAAATTATCTGACACAGAATTTCATGATGCCATCATGTATGTACTGTATATCCTGTTAATCATTGTAATGTTTGAAGTCTTAATGCTTTTGCTATTTTGAAGTTGGACCTCCTCTGGAGTTTCTGCCTCTCAAACAAAGAATTATGTTGAATTGAATGACTGAATCATTTCTTTTGCACCAAATACACAAAAGAGAAAACTCTGAAAGTACAGCAGAGATCAAAGATAGAGAAAAACAAAATACAGCAAAGATAACATTTTGTCAACACTAAGAGTACAGTTTGTAAAGTTTAAAGTTCCCCTCCAGACACATTTTAAACTATGTAAAAATACTCTGCTATGATTAATATTTTCTTTCTCCCACATAAAACATCAACAACAACTCTGAAAAGGGTCTGGAAGAACATTTACACTAACTTCCTCATTGAGAAATAAGTCCCAAATCAGGTGGCGCATCCTATCGAAGACGCAGTCGCATCTTTATAGCAGCATAGACCCCAAAGTTCGAACTGAAACATGACAGTCTGGCCTGTCGCATTGTGTCAATAGCCTCACCATCACTGTTGCATCACAAAGCGACACTCCTGTTGCCTAGATATCTTGACCTGATCATGTGACTTTTTTTTTCTTCACAAAGAACTTGCAGTTTTAAGTCCCTTGGTTTTTTTTAACAGTCGTACTGTTAGCTGTTCAAACTGAGCTGAAGCGTAATACACTGCTCAAAAAAATTAAGGGAACACTCAAATCACACATCGGATCTTGATGAACGAATTATTCAAGTTGAAAATCTATACTGATGTACATTGTCTAATTTGTTGAGAACAAAATTACATAACAACGGTCAATGGAAACCAAAATCATCAACCCATTGAGGGCTGGATTCACAATCACACCGAAAATCTAGGTTAAAAACTGAAATCACAGGCTGATCCAACTTGCATGAAATTCATCACAGCAACTCATTATGTGACTCAGTAGTGTGTATGGCCCCCGCGTGCCTGTATGCACTCCCAACAACGTCTGGGCATGCCCCTGATGAGTTGGCGGATGGTGTCCTGTGGGATCTCCTCCCAGACCTGGATCAGGGCATCAGTGAGCTTCTGGACAGTCTGTGGCGGTATTCGGCGGCGTCGGATGCACCGATACATAGCGTCCCATAGGTCCTCAATTGAATTTAGGTCAGGGGAATGTGAGGGCCAGTCAATGTCATCAATGCCTTCATCATCCAGGAACTGCCTGCACACTCTGGCCACATGAGGCCAGTCATTGTCCTGCACCAGGAGGAACCCAGGGCCCACTGCACCAGCATAAGGACTGACAATTGCTCTGAGGATTTCATCCCAGTACCTAACAGCTGTCAGTGTACCGTTGGCTATGACATGGAGGTCTGTGCGACCCTTCAAGGACATGCTTCCCCAGACCATCACTGACCCTCCGCCAAACTGGTCATGCTAGATTATGTTACAGGCAGCATTAAGTTCACCGCGGCGACTCCAGACTCTTTCACACCTGTCACATGTGCTCATTGTGAACCTGCTCTCATCTGTGAAGAGAACAGGGCACCAATGGCAGACCTGCTAATTCTGGTGTTCTCTGGCGAATGTCAATCAAGCTGCACGGTGCTGGGCTATGAGCACAGGTCCCACTAGAGAATGGCGGGCCCTCATGCCATCCTCATGGAGTCTGTTTCTGACAGTTTGGTCAGAATCATGAACACCAGTAGCCTAATGGAGGTCATTTTGTAGGACTCTGGCAGTGCTCATCCTGTTCCTCCTCACACAATGGAGCAGTAGTGACAAGGACAGTAGCAAAACATAAAACTAGAGAAGAATCAGTCAGGAAGGATAAGGAGAGAGCAACTGTCTGTGGCCACCACATGTACAATGGGGGTTGTCTTGTTTTTGCCTCTACATTGCACCTGTTGTCACTTTCATTTGCACCAAAGCAGTTGAAACTGATTCATAATCACTTGTGCTTCCTAAATGGACAGGTTGATGTCCCTGAAGTTTAACTCGCTTGGTCTTATATTGTGATGATAAATGTTCCATCAATTTTTTTGAGCAGTGTATTTAAAAGTGTAATCCTTACCACCGTGCAGCAAATCTTGGGATAGTATGGGCAGAGAAGGATCCACCTGTTGGAGTCTTCATTGCCCAGGATAGGGAAGGCTGCATTTCTTGTCCGCATTTGAGGGAGCCTTCGTAATGGGACAGCCTAGTCAAGTTACAGTGATGTAACCAGTCTTGATTTGGGACACAACTATAGAGTGTTGCATGAATGAGTCCTGAAACCAGGAAATAAGTTAGCATTTTATACCGGGCAGTATTCATGTTTGTTTTTTGAATGGGTTTTTCGTTGGTAGATGCCTGAAATAAGCATGAGTGGAGTGATTAATATAATTATTTCTTCAGCCACCAAGCCACGCAAACAAGTAAGTGTCCAGGATAAACAGGACAGGAGGCCGGAACTTCAAAATTGAATAGAGACTTTATTCAATGCCTTGCACAATGTAAGACAGATATTAAAAAGAAGGTACTACAGCAGGCTAGAGCTGCACAGTAGTTATAAAAATTGTACAATAACTGGCCAACATTAAGGTAGAATAGCCAAATGGAAACTGATACTGACTTGATATAAATAGCAAAATTACACAGTGAAAGTTAAACAGTTGCTAATACTCAGGACCCCAACCACCCTCCCAAGAGAGCAAAATAGGGTTCATAAAAATACACTGCCACTCAAAATCACACACACTCTCACACCCAGGACAACAGGCAGAAAAACACTGCAATCACATCAAACTATGAGCAACAAATAGGGGGTCTCTGAATTTATATGAAGCCTCAATCAATCACAATTATTTAAGCTATGGCTCAAGGATTGCACAGTGGCCATCATCAAATATTGCACAATGCCCAGTTTAAATAGAAATTGAAAAAAGAAAACAACAAAAAAAATTAGAATACAGCAAAAGGCCCATAACCCCAGCGAATCCTTCACATGGGAAAAAACAGTGAGTCAATGTTACACTCTCAGACAATCCCATTAAAAATAAATATAATATCTAACTTTGGCCAGACATATTTTAGGAACAGTGTTTTCATTTAATTATCAACTCAATATGCTGTAGGCCTACCTTTAACTCCTTTTAGTGCCCAGTGCTGCAACCTGCTTAGTATCACGACGCCCAATACTAAAGGAAAAAAAGAATATACACTGAACACCTTGTTTGACTAACTGATATTAACTGATATTTATCAAACTGTGTAACCGTGACTTACAATCACACCCTCCACTTCGGGTTTGCAATTTATGTGTAACAAGCAGATTGATCAGATGACTGGGAACTATGATAGAAATAAAAAACACATTGATGATTTGAGTGTTTTCTTTCATAGCCCGATTGAGGTGATTGATGGCATATGATATTACGATAATATTTGCCTACCGCAAAACAAATTTGGCGTCCTTCGTGCTGTTGTCTGCACCACGCAGCACTTCGCCGGCCAATGACAGGTAGGAGAGAGAGTGAGAGAAAGAGAGCGCTACTTCCGTTTTCCCCTAAATAATCTTCCTCAAGGTCCTAAAGGTATCCCCGTTACACGTGGTTAACAAGCTCCATGTTTAATTCTGTGTCACAAAATACGTCAGTAAATGCCCCAGTAGTGATTTCCTTAAGCTTATATGTCTCTTAAAAGTCTGCTTGCTAACAAATATCTACCCACCAGTCCGCTTTGACAGCCTCGTCCTGCTTTTGCAAAAAAAATAGTAGTGGTCACGTTGTTGCCTAACATTAACATTTTACTTGAGGCATCTGTGCTCATTGAACAACTGAACAAAATGTGTGACAAACTTTTGTTTGTCAGAACTTATTTTCTCCAATCATCCAAAAGCCAATGTAAAAATCAGAGGAGTTTGTTGTGCAACAAAATCAGTGCCCTTAGATAAAATTGGGACCTTTCACTAGTTTCAATGTCTTGGCTGAATCTGAATGTGACTCAGACATGAAAAAATACAAATATATTTTTAAAACTATTTTAGTTTCAGAAATTAAGTTATAGTGAAAAGAAATCCGACATTCAAGTGCGAGAGCAGGGTAGCGAAACAGCCGCAACACAAACTCCACACAGGCAGTGTTTTACCAGCATAATTCCAGCAAGATCAATAATGGTAGTTGTGTATCAAGATCTGCTGACCGTGCATCAACACATTGTCATCAATAATCTTCTTTATACTAACCAACAATGACTTTTAAATCTTAATGTTTTCCTTTTATCTCCTTGTACACACTTAAGGGTACTCCATCGAGAGTGGAAGAGATTTGGATGGGCCTTTGAAGATCTCTTTGCATTGGACAAACCTCTGCTTTACTCATTGAGAAATGAGTATGCTGTGCTGGTAATGAACATACTAGCTTGTTCATGGCCAGACATATTGTTGCACAGGTTCCCTCTGCTCAGCCTCATTTTTCCAGTGCTAATCAGAGTGAGGTAACAACCCCGGTGAAAGTGTCCACATGATCATTAAATGATGTTAAACGTGATGATATTTGTTTTTTGTATGCCCTACAACTGGCATGTTGCGGTTCTTACAGGAATTTCTAGCCTTTTCTACTCTTGTAGTTTGACTACAATTTCCATTTGCCCTCTGGGGTTATAGTAATGCACTGGAAGGCCAAGATGAAGAGTAAGTGCACTACTAGTGCCAAGCGTATGGCAGGTGGAATAAAAGTATAAAAACATTTTTAATGGTAGAATAGCTACCTCACAGAGTCACATTTTCATGTCCATCATATAGCAGGGAAAAGGTAATGATCAGGCAATATAACAATAATGTTGAGGACTCCATTTTTGATTAACAGCTTTATTCCTTCTTGTTTTGTTCTCCTTTCTTTTATGTAGAAGTTTCCTTTAATGTGGCTCACGTATGAGCAGATTATGCATTGTGCATATTAATAAAATACAGACAATATCATGAGTGCTACTTTATGTCTTTGGGGTGGCTCGGCCCATGATTGCTTTCTTTGTGTTCCTCTCTGGTCTCAACAAAATTATGTAACATTTGGGTCCAAACAGCGCCACCAAGAGGCCAAAACTGGAGGCCAGGATGGCAAATACCTCCACTGCATCTGCATATTTGCCTGGGGAATTGACATAAGCAGGGATAAAGGCCACCCACACAGCACAGAAGATCAGCATGCTGAAAGTGATGAATTTGGCCTCATTGAAGTTGTCTGGAAGATTCCTTGCCAGGAAAGCTAACAGGAAGCTGAGGATAGCCAGGAAGCCAATGTAGCCCAGTAACACTGCAAAACCAATTGTGGACCCAACTACACACTCATAAACTATCTTGTCATTGTGGTATTGAGTGTTTTTGTTAGGCACTGGTGAGGCAGAGACAAGCCAGGCAGTACAGATTGCTGCCTGAATAGAAGTAAGAACCAGAACTGTCCCTCTCTGCTGCACAGCACCAAACCACTTCAGACTGGCTCCACCTCCTGGCTTAGAGGCCTTGAACACAGCCAGAACCACCATGGTTTTCACCAGGATGCATGAGACACAAAGCACAAAGCTGATCCCAAACGCTGCATGTCTCAGCTGACATGTCCACAGTCTGGGTCGTCCAATGAACAGCAGTGAGCACAGGAAACATAGTTTAAGTGACACCAACAGCAGGAAACTGAGTTCCGAATTGTTGGCACGCACCATGGGTGTGCTGCGATGATAGATGAAGATGCCCAGGATGACAGCACAGATAAATGTGCCCAGCAATGAGGTGGCTGTCAAGCAGATTCCCAGAGGCTCATGGTAGGAGAGGAACTCTGTTTTCTTGGGGACACAGTAGTCACGCTGGGGGTTGGACCAGAAATCCACTGGACAACTTGTGCACTCCATGGAGTCTGACAAAAAGAGGGAAAATGTGAAATGTCAATAATATTTATTTTATTTGCTATTTTTCCTATTTGGAATGGACAATTTTCTATGCTCTTCAGTCCTTTTCCTTGCCAGATTACATCCTCCCCTACTATTAGGGGATACAGTTTCACCTGCAACACACATGGAATCCTGCCAGTTGCTTTTTTTTTCTACCAAACAGTGAGGGGCCTTTATTTATACACCAACCTGTTTCATTGCTGATCTTTCCCTCAGAACATGGGATGCAGTCAAAACAGCACACAGGTTGCCCCTTCTTTCTGGCCATCCGAGTACCTGGTGGGCAGCTCTCACTGCAAATTGACCTGGGTGGCTATAGGGATTGATTATATATATACAACTGTTAAATTTTTTTTGTCAATGTAATGTTATCGAACCAGTACTCAGTATCGGTCAATAAACAAGTTCAGGTATCAGGATTGTGAAGGAAAAAATGAAAGTGAAACATCTCTCATGTTCTACAGTATTCAATGTTATCATTAGGCATAAAACAGTAAAATCAATAAGCAGGAGTAACCTGTTTAGATTCAAAGTTCCAGAAAATTCTGTCCTCATGAAGTGTGAGTTCTTCACCTTTGGGCAACTCTTTAACTTCACCCACATTCTGAATCTTTGCTGTGCCATCTGGGAGCCACAGCCAGTTCATGACGTCATATATTGGCAAGGCATCGCCATTTGCATCAAATGACACTTGATCCCCAACTGGTGTGGTGAAGTTTACTCTATCCAAATAATACACCAGCTTCAAGTGGGTGAGAGAAAACAACACAAGAAGAATGTTAACACAGAATGTAAATGACTCCATCCAAATATGTATCTGATCAGGTGTAGCTATCAATCATTTTATTTGTTTTATGCTGGAATTGTCACGTTTAAAGTGTAACTTTGCTCCAGGCTAAGAGCAGTTAGTTTCAAATCAACACTAATGTCCCAGTGTCCTGGAGTCCAAACTGTACTTCACAGCAGCCACATCACAAGATAAATCACTGAGAGTTTAAATTACTCTCCAAAATACAATAAATTGCTTGATTACCATAGATTTATTATGACTGTCACTCATCCTCATGGGAATCTGATTTGAAAAAAATATTTTCCTTTTATGAGGATTGCTATTTGGTGTCATAGTAAAATATTGTTTTTAATTCTTATATAGAGTGATGCAGGAATGATGAATTTTATAGGTCAACCTGGAAGTTACAGCTCAACACTTTCAATTGGCTTTTGGATTATTGCAGAAAATAATCTCTGTGGTTGTCAAACGTTTATGATACGCTAATTTCACAAATGGATACCACTTCTATGATTTTTGAAGTACAATACCAGAAGTAAAAATGATATGTTGAATGTGAGGCTATAAACAAACTACACCATGGTTGCATGACTTAACCACCACTAAGCTTCCAAGTTGCAATTTGATTTAGTGTGCTTGCCTCTTCTTCTTCTTTCCTCCTAGAAAGTTAGTAATATGCAAGAGCATGAGTATAAACAAAACAAGACTGTAAAGACCATTGAGCAGATAATTTTTCACATCCAGCGTGATGACTTTTAATGTTACCGACTACCTCTGTAGCACTAACCACTTGTTACCAACCGCCTTTTTAAAGACATGTAAAATCTTAAAGAAATCACAAGTGGGGTATTTACTTAAGTATATGTATTTTATGTCGTACAATAAAACATGAAAATATTTTGAGCTTGTGTTAAACCACAGACCTTATTTCAAATATCTAACAATATCCTATTAAAAAAACCCATCAACTTCAGTACAAGGGAACTGAAAGTGCAAAAATGCTAACCTATTTCTGGGTTTTAGGGCTCAATGCGGCAGCACTCTTTTCTATATCTAGGTGTAGCAGCTGTTTTTTGAAATGAACAGGTAGCATGTAAATTGATATCTCACCTGCCATAGCTCCAGTCTTTGTAAACTCGTACAGCTGTGGCCACTGAAAGGCCCTCGCCCTGGCTCACAGTGCAGCATGTCATCAAGGGCGTACGCCAGAGCATACACAGCCTTGTAAATGTTGTACTCCGGCCTGAGATTAGAAACATCAAACAGCTCACTATCCACTTTATGTAGATCTTCCTGTCCAGTGCATAATGCTCCTCCAGCTTCCACCCAATCTACTGGAGGTGGAGAAAATCTACACTGAAATATATCTTCCCAAAACTGATTTACCTGAAATGTAAAAAAAAATATTCAGTGTTAACAAAAAAATGCATATAACTGCAGCAATAACAGGTCAGATTGTAAGATTAAACTCTCACAATGCTATTTCCATAGTTGTTGTGGTGTTGGTCGGGGTGTATTCTTAAGAGGAAGTCCTTGTATCCTGCTATTTCTCCCCGACGGATGGCAATGCCCAGTGTTCCACCCAGGTACGGCATGAAGTCAGGCGTCTGGAGCACATCAACTGATGTCCAGGCTTCACTGGCCAGCCACTGCAGGCCTGTCACATTCTGCCTCACCACCTATATATTGTATTATAAAATAAATATTTTCTCAGACATCTAAGGCACAAATATCGTAGTTTTTTTGACATATGAACCCAGTTGTGTACAATTATGCCATGATAACATATGAAAAGCTTCCTTTCATTTTTCTTTTCCTACAGCAGGAGGAAGAAAAAGGCATAACTGTTATGTTAATTATCCTTTATGTTTCATGCTTCAGCTGCTATAATCTAACTCTGAGAACAAATGTTGACACAAAAAAATATGTCAATAATTTATATAATGCCATATTTTGTGAGCTAGACAGCCTATAACAGGGAACATAGATTCATAAATGACATGGTATTTTGAAACCCACCTCCTCCACTAGTTTATACATGTGGATTTCATGTGCAAACACCATGACCACACGAGCTGTTGATTTCTTCATCACATCCACAATTCTCCTAAGTTCAGCTGGGTCATTGCCCCAAGGCAAAATCTCCGTGTAGGCGAGACAACCTCCACCTGAATTAGTCAAGTCAGACTGGAAGGATCGGGCAACATGTACTCCATAATCGTCATCACTGATCAGCAGACCTACCCAAGTCCAGCCAAAGCGTTTTAGAATCTGAATCATAGCACGCACCTAAGTGAATAGAAAACATGGTTTCAGTCATTGTAAGATTCACAGCAGAATCAGAAATCATTCAGAATTGTGATTTCAGTCTATAAGTTTCATTATTGATGCACAAAGCACATACTGTATTTCCTCATACCCCAAACTTATAGTTTCACCTGAAAAGCATCACTTGGAATTGTTCTAAAGAAGGATGGAAACCGTTGCCGATCACTCAGGCAGGAACATGTGGCAAAATGACTCACCTGAAAAGAGACGTACAGTACAGTGTGAGCACAGGTTGTGTACAGTATCTCATGTAAGTTGTTTGACCCATTTGAAATATTACACACTTTTTAAAAGTTATCAACACATTTGAAATAGATTTGTATACAGTCCATTAAACGCACAGAAGAAATTTAAACTCACCATAGGCAATCTGAATAAGCCTAACACATTGGAGGTGGCAATAGAAAATGTTGAGTAGGAATCACCCACAATCCCCACAACTGGAGGGGTCCCTAAACAGTTCTCCTGAAGCAGAAACTGCTCCTCTTGACCACTGGCCAGCACCAAAGCAGCACGAAATCCGATAAAAAGTGCACCACAGTTGTCATACAGACTGTATCCCAGAGTTATATTTGGTAGCAGGTTGGAGTTTCTGTTGATCTCATCAACAGCAAAGACCATCATCATGGCCTGTCTGAATCCTTGAGTGTCAAAGCTAAAACACATAATGTTACTATTAACGATTAAAAATGAGCACAAATTACAACAGATTTACCCAAATCACCACATTATCAAAACATTCTGTATTAATATGTGTTACTTTTTAGAGCTGCATTTTAACATGTGGAAATATCTCAATATCTGATTAAGATGTATATAACAATACTTCAAAGACATCTCAGCACAACTCTTACATGTTATTTCTTAATAGCTTGAAGACTCTGATAAGACAAGAAAAATCTTTTTCCTGTATGTATGTAAGACTTACCCTGTGCAGGTGGGTTGACGTGGTTCTGAAGTGAATGTCCACTCACTGAAGACGGAGGTGTAATGGACCTCAAACAACCCACCCAGAATAACATCCCCGGCCCTGTGCAACCCATTGAGATGAAACTCTCTCCGTAATTTACAAGAGGAGGAAAGAGAGGAAGACACTGGGAAGAAAAAAGAAGAAGAGAACAAAACCACGATCATGGAGACACAGAAGAGTAAGTATATGTCAAAAAATGCCCCCATAACTGCCTCCTCCTCCCTTCACCCCGGTTTCTTAATCTTCATGCACTGTTACTTATTTTTATATGCAGACCTATGTCATCCTCTTTGCATCCTTATTGTTTAATCTTTCATACCACCCATCAGGGCATGGCTAGTACCCATCAGGGCACGACCAGTAGTGTGGGCAGGACATAATTGACAGAATATCATGTCAGTAGAGGTGCAGTGTCAAGATTACATAATTACATACACTCACCGACCACTTTATTAGGTACACCTCGATAACCAGGTTGGACCCCCTTTTGCCTTCAGAACTGCCTTAATTCTTTGTGGCATAGATTCAACAAGGTGCTGGAAACATTCCTCAGAGGTTTTGGTCCATATTGACACGATAGCATCATGCAGTTGCTGCAGATTTGTCGGCTGCACATCCATGATGCAAATCTCCCGTTCCACCACATCCCAAAGGTGCTCTATTGGATTGAGAACTGGTGACTGTGGAGGCCATTTGATTACAGTGAACTCATTGTCATGTTCAAGAAACCAGTTTGAGATGATTTGAGCTTTGTGATATGGTGTGTTATCCTGCTGGAAATAGCCATCAGAAGATGGGTACACATAAAGGGATGGAAATGGTAAGCAACAATACTCAGGTAGGCTGTGGTGCTTAAACGATGCTCAGTTGGTACTAAGGGGCCCAAAGTGTGCCAAGAAAATATCCCCCACCATTGCACCACCACCACCAGCCTGAACCGTTGATACAAGGCAGGATGGATCCATGCTTTCATGATGTTTATGCCAAATTCTGACCCTACCATCCGAATGTCGCAGCAGAAATCAAGACTCATCAGACCAGGCAAACTTTTTCCAATCTTCTATTGTCCAATTTTGGTGAGTCTCAGTTTGCGGTTCTTAGCTGACAGGAGAGGCACCCAATAGTAAAAAAAAAACACTGGGGCATTTAGTGGAGGTTAAACACACATCACTGGATAAGGGGCATCCTATTTCTGATGTATAGTGAGACGATGCATAGCAGGAGGGAAGCTTTTGTCTGAAAATCTAGATTAACCTGTGAAAACACACTTGTGTCCATATGCAGACATTTCGGGGATGGAGATCTCAGCTCTCTTTACTGGCCTGATTTTGGAGATTAACAACAGCAGTAAGCTGCTGCCGAGCATCAGGCTGTCACATTTTCAACTGATCTACAGCAAGTGCAAAATATGAGAATTACAGTTTAACTTTTTACTTTTGCAACAAGGAAAATATGTAATTCATTTCACTGATGTAAATCAATAACATCAGATTTGTAGAAATCAATTATTATACTTTGATGAGTTGTGATGGGGGACTGAAGGACTGGCACTCAAGGACTACTAAAGAGATAATTTTGAAACACCAACAGCAAAATATTTGTGTCATCTCATTTTTAGCAGGATTAACTTTTCACATTTTTCAGTGTAAACTGATGTAAAAACTTATGAGTATTATACGGGTTTGGATTGGTGTTCAATTGGTGAGCAATTCAAGCTCTCTGGCCAGTGATAATTCCCCCATTAGTTTTAGAGATGCTTTAAGGTCAGACACTCTTTAGGAAACCTAGGAACTTAGAAGGAAATTCGTTGGTCAGGCTGACTCCTATGCAGTCTGGTTGACGTCATTTAAATGTTTGAATGAGTTGCTAGTTGGCAGGTGAAGAAGGGGGCCTTGGTGTGCTGATCCCAGGTTACAAACTTTTGCTCTAGGATTGTTGAGTGTCACCCTCTTTCTGGAGAGGGCCAGGGTTAATGAAGCTGTGCCAATTAGATATGGCAGGGTTCAACTCAAAAGCTCTTGCTCTAAAACCACCCCCCTGGATAAGGGCGGCACTCCCTCCTATGACAGAGTTGCCCACGGTGAAAGATGCTGGCCAACTGTGTGGATATACTCACACACTCCTGGCAGTGTACCGCTGTGTTGAAGTTGTTCCTGAGAACTAGAGGAACTTGTCTGTGTGACTGAAGTCACTGAGAGTAAGTCTCTGACTTTGGTCCTAGTGCTACCTGAGGCTTCAGTAGTTCTACTGGGGTAACTTAATTCAGTGCCCACAGGGGCAAGGATGGAGAAACCTTGAGGGGAGTGGCTGGGCGTAACAGCATGCCTGATCTGAGTTGCAGTGGTATGTTGATGTGAAGGAGTTTTTATCTCCCTGTGCTCTTCTATTATTTTGTAGACCTCACTATCAGATGATAAAGTACAGATCATAAAGACATCATAGCTTAGCTAATATGCAAATTCACATTGCAGGTACCAAAATAAAATCTTGATCCAGCACTAGCCACATGGTTAATGCAGGCTCAAAGCTGTTACCATGTTAGTCATATTGTTGCTTTTCCTTTAAATGTTCTCTGTAGATGTACATTATATCTGGGTGACTCCTTGCATTTGGAAATTTGGTAGACAGCAGCAATGCTAGTTACCCACTAAAATGTGGTGTGTTGCTTAACAAAACTACATACAAATATAATTTTTGACAGGGTGGCAAATACACTGACAAAAAACTGCACAAAATACATTTCATGAATTTCAAGTCAAAGGATTGTAACAGACTCAGCTGTAGCACACAATTCTCAGGATTCAGTTCTAAATATACACAACAGGCAATGACAGACAGACAGGCAGGAACCAATTGCACAAAATGGCACAGGCAAAAACTCAATGTTTCTCCACGGGGAAACAGCAGTATATAGAAACTCACTTTCAAAGCACTGCAGCAGTACAATGACCAAAAAGCCAGACAGAAACCAAAAAATGCAGGGCGAAGTCTCAAGGTCAGGTTCAGAAGGCTAGGTCTTTTACTGGGGGACAGGCAATGAAGGAAAGGCAAAGACAGGCTGCATCTGAAACAGGAGATCCAAAGTCTTGCATGGGAAACAGCAAAGAACAATCTGGCAGTGAGTGTGTGGAAAACTGGAGACTAAATAGTGGCAGAGTCAATGGCAATCAGGTGTGTGTGCAGGTAAGTAGCAGGTGTGTGTGATTGTCCTGATTGCAGTGGAGCAGAGTGGAGCGGGGGCGTGGCAGAGTCAATAAATGAACTGAACCAGGAAGTGCAGGCTGTGACAATGATACTGAAAGAAAATGTTGGATCACCAACTTTTCAAATAAACACAAAATATGGCCTTTCAAGATATTTCTGACTAAGCTTGTTAGAGTCAGCTCTTGGTTGTCTTCACATTGGGGTTTTCTATCATCCATTTAAACTATATCACTTTGTCACTGTTTAGGTTTACATTCAACAGACAGTTCATTACAGTGTTTTTTTAAAATTCTGATATACGCTACAGAGTGTCAGGCTACATATTTAATGCTTACACTGAGGTTCACACTAGTAGAATGCAATCTGAAACTCCAGTTATTTGCAGTCACATTATAAAGCAGGTGTACTTTAAAGGGGAACTCACAGGGTAGTTTCAGTATAGTATCATTGTCGTTTATCTTATCTTATTTTTTTTAAGGTATAGTGGAGCAATGAATCGTGTGATTTATTTAAAACTAAATTGAACAAACCTAAACACCCATTAGGTGTGCATTTTAAGGTTGTAATATAAGATAAATCCAAGGAAAAAAAAGACATGAGCGTAGGACAAAATTATGGAGATATGTGGTGTTTAAAATGGTAACTGTACAATAGTAGAAAAAAAAACACTGGGGCACTTAGTGGAGGTTAAACACACATCACTGGATAAGGGGCATCCTCTGTCTGATGTACAGTGAGATGACGCACAGTAGGAGGGAAGCTTTTGTCTGAAAATCTATATTAACCTGTGAAAACACACTTGTGTCCACATGCAGACACTTCGGGGATGGAGATCTCAGCTCTCTTTATTGGCCTGATGTTGGCTCTGAGTTTCTTGGAGCTGAACTCAACTCTTGCATTGAATCTTTCTTGGACAGGTCTGAAACAAAGGGCTGGGCTTACAGAGGCGAAGTCTGGTGCTGGGGTCAGTGCTGAGGCTTCATCTGTGAAATGTAAGCTGCAGGGTGCTGCTCGTCTACCTGCATTCTCAATGGATGGAGACTACGTTATTGGGGGTGTTTTCTCCATACACAACTACATGCACACAGTGAAGCATAACTACACCACCATGCCTGAGCCACTAAGGTGCACAGGGAGGTTAGTGAGAAGAGGAAGTTGGGGATAAAAGGATGTTTGACTGTGTGGGGAAAGAAATGTCTTAATCTCTATGATGTGCTTACAAAGTTGTTGCAAGGCTTTTGTGTTGTATTGAAAACTTAAAAAAAAAAATATTAGGGCCAAATCAGTATTTGCATCATATATTATATCCACAAAAGTAGTACTGTTGTTGCTGCGTGTTCCTCTTAACTGAAAACATAAATGTGTTTAACAACTGATTTACTGACTGTTTTAACAAATTAAGAGTTTACTTGACTTTAGTGCATCTTTCTGTGCATCACAATTCCTG